ATGCCCAGGACGCTGGAGGGGCAGATCACCATGGAGAAGACCCCCAGCTACTTCGTCACCAAGGAGGCCCCAGCCCGCATCTCCTCCATGTCCAAGGGCACGAAGCTCATCGTGGTGGTGCGGGACCCCGTGACCAGAGCCATCTCGGACTACACCCAGACGCTCTCCAAGAAGCCCGACATCCCCACCTTTGAGAGCCTGACCTTCAAAAACAGGACTACGGGCCTGATCGACACCTCGTGGAGCGCCATCCAGATTGGCATCTACGCCAAGCACCTGGAGAACTGGCTCCTCTACTTCCCCATCGGGCAGATCCTCTTCGTCAGCGGGGAGAGGCTGATCAGCGACCCCGCGGGGGAGCTGGGCAAGGTCCAGGACTTTCTGGGCCTCAAGAGGATCATCACCGACAAACACTTCTACTTCAACAAAACCAAGGGCTTCCCGTGCCTGAAGAAGGCGGAAGGCAGCAGCAAACCCCACTGCCTGGGCAAGACCAAAGGCAGGACCCACCCCGACATCGACCAGGAGGTGGTGCAGAGGCTGCGGGACTTCTACCGGCCCTTCAACATGAAGTTCTACCAGATGACGGGGCAGGACTTTGGCTGGGACTGAGGCTGAGAAAAAAAAAAATAATTTAAGAAAAGGAAAATATAATATAATATATATTTTTTTTACGTATCAGTAGAGGGGGGGGGAATACAGAGAAAAAAATAATAGTCATGCTGAAACATGATTTGCTCTGATTTATTCTTTTCTTTCACCGCTGCTTTGTTTTCTTGCTTCTCTCAGAGAAGAGGTGATGGGTCCACCCACAAAAAGGAGGTTGTGAAGAGCGACCTGGTGCTGTCCACATCACCTGCAGCTCGGCTGCTTCCTTCAATGGGCCCAGGGTTTAGCACTGCCTCTGTAAAAGAAATGCAGGTGTAAAGTTTTTAGAAGTGGCAGGATCCTTGGAGGGGCTCAGAGTCTTCCTGAAAGGTCATCCAGATTTTGGCTCGCAAGTGCCATTTTAGGCCAGACCTCACCACTTTGGACAATAAAACAAAGGAGGCTTAATACCTAATTTGGCTTTCCAAACCTTACCTTAGGGGATTTTTTATTGCATGAAACATTTGGTCAATTTTTCTTCATTTATCCAATTTTTTGTTTTACTTTTACCCCCCCTAAATCAAGCTCTTTTCATCAACCAAACTTCTTTTTCCCCTTATGGAAGCCAAAACCAATAATCCTTTGTTTTGTTTTCAGACAAAATAATTTTGGTGGCCAAAAGTGAAAGGAAAAAAATTATTCTTTTGACTCTTGTGATGAAAATTGCCAGGTAGTCAAAAGGCCTCATTCACAGGAGCTGGCTCTAAACCAGAGTTTCCTTTTGCATCCCTTTTGATACACTGACAGCAGAATCCTTTTCCAAGGGGGGCCCCTCTGAAGGGATTTTGGGGATGGGAAGGGAAGGTCCACACTGAGGTGATGCTCATGGCACACAAGTCTTGAAGGTGATAGGGGACCCACCATCCCACCACACGTATGTAGGAAACTTCTCTGTGTCTGGCAGATCCAATTCAAGCCCTAATGATGAATATTTTAAGTTGTGCCAGTCTTAAATACAGTAGAGGAAGGGCTGGTTGGGAAAAAGTCAACAAAATGCATGTCCAGAAAGGGGAATGAAAAGATAATAGTTCTTTCCTTATTGAGAACTGAGTGGGAAGCAGGAACAAGAGCACTGGTTGTGAAGGGCTTTAAAAATTGTCAGGCAAAACCAATCTCCTTTATCACCTCTTTTTGGCTGGTGGAAATGTTTCAGCGATAGAAATCTATTAGTGAAGCACGATCTTGTGTTACCAGGGGCTCATCTATCTGCTGGCTCTTGATCTTCAGCATTTTCTGGACTAAAGGAGCACCCAGTCATTGCTTAAACACAACAGGAGGGTGAGTCCAGCTTTCAAAAGACCCTGATGGGGTAAAACCAAGTGGGGGATCATCTGGAAATGTGGTTAAGAAGAAGCCTGAGGATGAAGCTCACTGGCTGCTAACACACCAGCCAGGATCTTAATAAAATCACAACAGAGCAGAGATTTCAAGGAGTCCAAAGAGAATTGTATCTGGAATTATGATTTAACCCATGAGGGAGGCATTTCCACCTTGGCAAGTTAAGGAAAACAGCTTGGAGGTCACTCAGCCTCATGGCTCTGAGTCCACTGCAGGTGTTGAGCCACATCCCCTCCTGGTTACCCCAAGCCACCTTCCAACTCATCCTTATACACCTCCCTCTGTTCCCAAGGGTGCAGAGAGCCCTGGGACCTTCCTACCCCCTGAAGACACAAACCCACAGGGTTTTCCCAAGGCAGGCCCATTTCTAAGGGAATTAAAATAACTCCCCTAGTGTTGCAAGGCTCCAGGAGCTTCTCCCACTGCTGTCATCCCAAAGCTCTACCTGAGCCCAGGTTTCTGTGTCCCGACTGGTGACACAATGGGTTGGTGGCACCAAAGCTGGGCTGTGCTCAGCAGCTTGTCCTGGCCTGGCACAGCTCAGTACCACCCTCACCACCTCCACTGATCCCTTCACCCCCTTCCCACCATTACTGTTCCATTGTGTCCCTTTTTAAGCCCCTTTTTGGCAATGTTCATCTTGCCTAATTGCCTTCTGGAAACACCTTAGGGCAGAAAGGCACCACACAGACTCCCAGCAGCCCTTTCTCCCTTCAGCCCCTCAGTGTTCATGCAAGAAATGACACGAGAACATCAGAGATGGTCACTCAGCTTTGGCTCTATGGGGTCATGGTCCCTCCCAGCACCTCTGCAGCTCAAATCAGAAGAAGCTGGAAGATTGTTGGGCTCTTGGTAATGGTGTCCCCAGTGTGTCACTGGAGGTGAGGGGAGCAACCTGCTGTCTGCCCATGCTGGACAGATCAAAGGGGAATGGGCTTCTGGTGTAGCCAAAAGGATGGGGGGCATTTATTGGGAAAAATATTCTGAAAGCAAGGCTTGTTGGAGCAGGAATGGGAGATGGACACTGTCCCTCCCCCCCTGTGCTCTTCCATTCAAATGCAAAAGTAGAGGTGGCAGCAAGGACAAGGCACTGTTCATTCACAGGCACGACCAAAGTGTGCCAGCACCAGTGAGGCACAAAGTCTGAGGTCTTCACAGCTGACAAAAAGGTTTAAGTATGCCATTTCTTTGGTATTTCAAGGAGAATTAAGGATGGGACAATAAGTACACACCTTGGACAAGTTTCCTTGGTTTAAGCCCAAGTGGGATCTCAGCCCCACATGGTCACTCGCTCGCTCCCCCAGTGGGATGGGGGAGAGAACTGGAAGATTAAATCTGAGAAAACCTGCAGGTTGAGATAAAAACACTTAATAGGTAAAGCAAAAGTCATGCATGCAAACAAAGCAAACCAAGGAATTTATTCTTCACTTCCCATGGCAGGTGCTCAGCCATCCCCAGGACAGCAGGGCTCCACCACACGTAACAGTGACTTGAGAAGGCAAACACCATCCCTCCAAAAATCCCCTCTTTCCTTCTTTCCCCACTTTTATATACTGACCATGATGCCATGTGGTCTGGGATATCCCTTGGCTCAGCTGGGGTCAGCTGTCCTGGCTGTGTCCCCTCCCAGCTCCTTGTCCATCCCAACCTCCTCCCTGCTGGGGTGGGGTGAGGAGCAGAAAGGGCTCTGATTCTGTGAGAACTGCTCAGCAACAATGAAAACATCCCTGGGTTATCAATACTATTTCCAGCACAAATCCAAACTCTAGTCCCATACCATCTCCTGTGAACAAAATTAACTTCACCCCAGCCAAAACCAGCACAGCAGGATAAATATCACTTACAAGTATAATTTAAAAAAAAAAAAAAATCAATATAGTTATATTGCTGTTGCCTCCCATACAGCCACATTTAGACTCGTACAAAGCAGCTTTAAAGTGCTACAGATGATTCTGCCCATATTTCACGAGCCACAGCAATACCAAGCACAGTCATACGAACGAGTTTCTACAATTGCCACCAAATCCCTGCCAGTAAATCAGCAGCGCTTTGATATGGCACCCAAGGCCATCGTATGTGCCTTTAAAAAAAAAACTCCTCCCAGCACACTGAACCCGGCCACACAGACATACTTTCCCCTAAATGCTTGAATGTTTTACTTCCCCTCATTTCTGAGGGTTTGAATCCCTTGCTGCACACCTTGTAAAACTATTTAGGGATCGGAGACTGTGATTGATTGGTTTTGATCTGGGCCCGAAGTATTTTCGAAAATCCCTCCATGTATGAACAATGGCTTTTAAAAGGAGGTCATGCAAGCAAATTGCTTTGAACTCTAATAGCATTTAAGCCCCTAAACTCTTTAGGCTTATTTGAAAATCCAGCCATGAAGTTTAGATTATTTTAACCTAAGAAGAATTGGAAGTAAACTGTTGAAAAACCGCACCCCTTGTGGGCCTGCAGTGCTGAGCATGTGCATTGGAGGGGAAAGTAAAAGTAGCTAGAAATGAAAAGGTGACCTGTAAAGTGCTTATTTATTTATTTGCTTATTTATTTAGGGCAGAAAAACCAATACATTAACTATGAGATACTAATTAGGTGTAGTTAAACGCCTCAGGTCTCAATTATCAAATCTGCCATTAGGCACTGATGAAGCTTAGGGTTATATGCCATGAGACATTTGGAGTTTAGAACGTTTGTTTTAAGATTAGAACAAAAACCCCACCCACCTTCACGGGGCATCCTGTCACCGTCAAGTGCCAAATCCATCATAAGGAAGTTTTTTACAAAGAGGGTGGTGTGGCCCTGGCACAGGTTGCCCAGAGAAGCTGTGGATGCCCCATCCCTGGAAATGTTCAAGATCAAGCTGGACAGGGCTCTGAGCAACCTGGGCTGGTGGAAGGTGCCCCTGCCCATGGCCTTTAAAGGTCCCTTCCAACCCAAACCATTCTGTGATTCCCTGATCTTTGAGTGGATAGATACTCCTCATCCCCCAGCTTGCAGCACTGCACCGGTGCCCCTGGGGGTCTCTGCACAGCACCTTGCCCAGCCCCACAAATGGCACCACAGCCCTCCTGCACTGAAACCATCAGGAGCTTGGGCTCAGGGGTGCTGGGCACGAGGATTGCCCCCAAATCCTCCAAAAATCACTGGTTTTCTCACTGTTGGTGACATGCTTTGGACAGGCTCGGAGATTCACAAAGGTGATTGAAGGTGAGACCTCCCTTTAACCCAGTGCAGCAGCAGCTTCCAGCCAAACCTGAGCTGTGGGAAGGTCCTTTGCACTCTTATTTCAACTGGCCACACCTGAAAAATTTCAGAGAAATGGGGTTTTCTTTACCAGTGCAGTTTGGCAAGACAAAACCAGGCCCCTCTGCTGCTGCAAATTCCATTGCTGCCATTCCTGGAAAGGCAAGGGCCAGGCTGCTGTGCCCACGCTGACCTTGGAGCTGACCTTGTGCTATGGGGAGTTTAACCAACTCCTCTGGAAATGCTGCCAGTCGATAATTTACACAGTTTGAAGGAATATATCCACCAAGGTGCCATGAAAATCAGTGTTGGGGACTCCTCTGTGTGGTGTCAGGGTGGTCTTCGGGGTCAAAGTCCCAGTGATGATTTGGCCTTGCCCA